ATGCCAAATGCTCAAATGCATTGATCTTGAACCTTCAGAAAACATTAATTCAGTTAATAGCCAATATCGAAAGCCATTTTCCTCATATGCCACACTATACCTGAACACACCTATGTGTGCACCTATACACCCCACATTCTCTTTCAGTATTAAGTACGGAGGTACAGATTTATTTTTATGGTTGTAGAATTTGAAAGCATTTGTTCTTTACCCACAACTTGCCAATTAGGAATACATTCTTCTTATCATATATCATTACTACAAATTTTGTTGAAATAGAGCTCTCTATTCAAGCTTACATCTGTAGCACTTTGTTCTCATGATTAGCCTTGGCCCTGATAACAGTGCAACAAATAAAGTCAGTAGCTATTCACCAACCTAAAATATATGTACCCCCAAATCAATGCCATTTTACAGATAAAGAAGCATTTTGCACACTAATAAATAATGCTATAAATCTTGCTATACTGGATTGCAAATAACTCCAACTGAATAAAATTGCTTGACATAAGATTTACTTATTCTGCATGTTCATAAAAACAACTTGTTCTCTGACAGCGCTCATTCTTGGCAATTTACCACAGCTGTCAGCAGCCAATTTGTTCAGATTACTGCTCTGCATAAAACTGTAACAATCATGAGGATTTATTAGCTGATTATCGTAAAGGTGGCAGCCCGTCTTGCCTGCCAAAACACAGGTGATCAGAAAGTTAAATAATTACATGCAGATTAACATTATTTCACCTTCACTTTAAATTTGTAGTTCAGCAACAGGTAAAATTTGTTGCTCAAACTTGCAGTATGGTGTATACCACCTAAGTTGGTTTACTGACTACTCAGCATTTTATTGAGCACTTAATGGCTTTAGAACACACTGAATATAAGAACGAGGTGAAATGAGCATAAACTGTAGAGTCAGAAGTCCTGAATTTGAGTCTGGCTGAGCAACCTCTAAACCTCCTTCTGCCTCACTTTTTGCATCTGTACAATTGGTAGATGAACTACCTTTGTTATCCCCTAATGTTGAGCTGATAAACAGCAATGTTGCCCTTTCAGTAGCAAAACATTATTATTATTGTTTCTTTCTATTCGTGGTAAATTTATTTTTGTTTAAAATTTAGCAACTTAAATAGCATTAACTTCCAAGATATCATAATGATGAAAAGATTTTGATATATGTATCTTGATAAATGTATAGGCTATTTTTTTCAAATACAACTATTCAGTATTTTTTAAGCATAAATATTACTCAGACACATTTACTCTGTAACTCTTTAACCCTCCCCCAACCCCCTTTTGAATTACATGCAAATACCTTTCCTCAATTACTCTGAAACTTTGTACCTCCCACTAAGGCATGTTGGTTTAATTGCCTTCATGTCAATTAAACCAAATTCTGTGTTTATTTGGAGAAGGAAGAACCATAATCTCCAGTATTAAATCAAGCTTCAGGTATTTAAATTAAAGAGCAGCAAATATTTATTGAGCACCTATTATGTGCCAAATACTTTTGAGGATGCCACAGTGAACAAAAATTTAAATAGTCTCATGGAACAAAACCTTCTTGGAGCTTACATTGTAGTGATGGAAAATTAATAGCATAAATAAGTGAAATGCACAGTATGTCAAATGGTGATTATTTCAAGGGAGGAGGATAGGAAAAAAAGGAATGTCAAGAAAAGGGAATTTCAGTTTTAAAATAGGGTTGGTATGGATGCCTCCTTCATGTGACATTTGTGCAAAGACCTAAAGAAGGTAAAGAAGCAAGTCAGGTAGACATCTGAAGAAAGAATGTTACAGACTGAGGGACATGTCCTAAGGCAAGAGGGTGTCTGATGGGCTTGGGAAAGAGCAAAGAGGCTGGAAGAGTGTGGAGAGAGGGAGGGACAGAAAAGCGGAAGTTCAGGGCAGAGGAGTGACAGTCATAAGGCCAGATCATGAAGAGCATTATAAACCACTGTAAGGATTTTAGTTTTACCCAGATTAATATGGGAAACAATTAAAGAGCTTTGAGCAGATGAATTAAATCATTTTACTAAAGTTATATGGGAGGAAGAAGAACAGGAAGCCATTACTATTGTCCACATGAAAGCTGGTGGCGGCTTCAGCCAGACTCATAATGATGAAGACGATGAGAGGAGTGACTTCTGAATATATTCATAAGGAAAAGTTAGCAGGTTGCTGATGGATTTGATGACAGGGAGAGAGAGGAAGGAATAAAAAATGACTCCAAGATTTTTGATGTTAGCAACAAACAAGGGAAAATCCCGAAGAACAGATTTGGGGGGTTGGGGTGAGAAGTCTGGCTTTGGACCTGCAAAACTGGAGAAGCCTATGAGACACTGAAGCGGAGATATCAAGTAGGCAGTTGGATGTAGGGATCTGGAGTTCAGAGAAGAAGGGGAGGTGTGCATTTGTCATTGTCAATCTCAGATGGTACGGAAAGCACAAGAATGGTTGAAGTCACCATGGAGCAAGTATAGACAGAGATGATACAGAAGGGATAAGTTCCGAGGTTCTCCAGAACTAAAACAGGAGGGAGGTATGGAAAAATATGCAAATGAGACCAAGAAAGAATATGCGGGGAGGTAAGAGGAAAACAGAGTCTGGTGTCTTAGAAGCCAAGTAAAGCATATGCTTTAAGGCAGCGATTCTCAACCTTCCTAATGCCGAGATCCCTTAATACAGTTCCTCATGTTGTGGTGACCCCCAACCATAAAATTATTTTCGTTGCTACTCTATAACTGTAATTTTGCTAGTATTATGAATCATCATGTAAATATCTTTTTGTTTTCCAATGGTCTTAGGCGACCCCTGTGAAAGGGTCATTCGACCCCCAAAGTGGTCACGACCCACAGGTTGAGAACCGCTGCTTAAGGTAAGAAAGATCAGCCAACTCAGCCCTGCTGATAGGTCAAATAAGATGGAGGTCGAAAACTGGCTATAGGATTTAACAACTTAGTGGTCATAGGAGACCTTGACAAGAGCAGTTTTGGTGAATTATAGGAGATGAAAGCCTGACTGGATTCAAGTGAGAATGGGAGTGGGGTACTGTTCAGTGTTAACTAGTTTTCCCCACATTGACACTCCAGATTTGCAAGTGGCTCTTTCATTCATAGCCAATCTTGTCTTCATTACGAAAATTAAGCCCTGTTATTGAGTAGATATTTACAAAACCCATTTTCAAAAGTCATTCTACGTGACCAAAACTGGGAAATAAAGTGGACAATAACAAAACAATAACACAATAAACTAGTTGTATGTAGATAATCTAATTGATACAAGTGTTCTGAAATCTGGGACTGCATTTAGACAGTGTCCTTAAAAAAAAATTAGTGGGCAATGAAGAGACAGTAAAAAATAAGAAGAGAGGATACGCTTCCAACTAGGTTATTATAGAAGGATGTAACTCAGGAATGGCAAGACACAAGAGGTGCACCTGGGAATGGTCATGGAGCTGCTGTACTCTCTCAGGGCGCCAGCACCTCCACGTGTTCACCAACCCAGAAGCTCCACCAATGGACTGCTCCTTATTTTCCCCCAAATATCGTAAGACTATAATAGCTCCTCCACAATCTAGAGCAACCCCTATGATCTTCGGACCAGCCATTTGTCACTGTTCTCTCAAATTTTGCCAAAATATGGATAAGCCTGTAGAAACAAGGTGAAGTGAGATAAACAGGCCTACCTCTCTGCCAACCATTTCTGTAATATAATTAGACATGCCCTTGAAAGGTTCATATTATCAAGCACGGAAAAGGGGCATGTCAGTACCAAATAGGCTAAGGAATTTCCATAATTCCCAGTTTGGAAATTCTTTTCAAAGAAATAAAAAATACATAAAAAGGATATCCATCATTATGGGGAAAAAAATAAAAAGGGGTAAGAAGGACTTCATGTAATATGGACCCCAACGTACAGGAAACCAGTACATTTTACCAATTACTTCATTATTTTACTGATATAAGAAACTCTGACTATAAAGTAATGAGATCGAGTTAGCGAGTTACATATGACAGTGGTTCTGGTTATCTTTTGGTGACCAAATATAGCTAATGTTGCTATAATTATAAAAATGAATTAATTATTCAAGGAAGAGCTAGATAGTACCTACTTGAAAGCATTCATAGCATATTGAGGGAGACAGAAGCATAGATACATAAGTATAATGAAATGTATTCAGTGTATTAACAGATGTATACTGCTACTTAAACTAGTGGTATATCCAAAGAGGACAAGAGAAACTTTAAGAAAACGCTGAAGAATTTTCTGAACTAACAAATTCTTCTGCCCAGCATGCTTTATTTCAGTATTGGCAAGTTTCAGAGTGTTTTGATCCAAAGACACTTATATAACTATCAAAAAATATAAAAATAGGCTTTAAAGTAAGAAAACAATTCATATAATCAAGCAGTCATTCGAAATAACTTTGTCTTTGTGGAAAGATGTCATGTGAACCTCAGAATAGCCCTTTCTTCACAGCATTGTCAGATTAACGTGGATCTCCTCGCTCAATGCTTCCTTCACTAAAGCCTGGGAAATCTACTGATTTATGAACTCCTGTGAGATTATAAAGATTCTTTGCCTTGTATGGAGTTGTAGGAAACAATGCATTCTACAGTCACAATATGCTTTACGTAAAGTAATTATCTCAGATCATTTACAGACTATGAATACGCTCTTTGTTCCTTTAAGTATCTTATACCAAGTGAGATTCCTCTTTCTCAACTCCGCTAACTGTTATGCACAATATTTCTGACATCTGGAGAAAATTTCTGGATATCAAATTTGGATAGCCTGTCCATGAACTGGTCAAAACTGCCACCTACTGGTCAATCTTCAAATCTGTTTTTTCAGTTCATCAAAGCACTGCCTCACTATGGTAAGATCCCTTCCTTCAAAACAGTAAAGATCCTTTACAGGAACGACACTTAACACAAATATTCTTAAAAAAAAATGCCCCTCTCTGGGGTGAACCAAAAATATCAAATTGCACAAACCTGCCAATAAAATCATCCCTTTTCCCAGCGTCTTTGTCCCATGCAGTGATATCAATGATTCCACCTCTTTCTTCGTAGAGATGAAAATCAAATTGTTCCCTCCACTGAGGATTCAAAGTTTTGGGCATAATCTGGAAAACCAAAAAGTCATTACTGTCTCATAAACATCAGTCTTTTATAAAATTTAACTTGAGACATTAAATCAATTCTAGATACTGTCTAGAAAAGCATGTAAGTGTGAGATTTGAACAAAAGCTTCCAGAAATGATGGTAATGAGTCATTAGCTCTCTGGTATCTTCATCTCATATTGTATGAAAGAACTCTAAAGGATATGTCCTGAAAACCAAAGTCACTCCCTCATCATCTTGAATAACATATGAAAGATACGAATTATACACAAAAAGCAAATCATCTATAAGTTAAATAGCTCATTCAGATACTAGCATTTATTTTACATAACCAGTTAATAACTCATAGTCTATCATCTCATAATAAAGTAAGTTCCCAAAGTTTCTTTTTTTTTACTTACTTCCTTACACATGGGAATTCTGAGCTAAATATATGAAAATTAACAAAGAAAAATAACAGACAATGAAGTTCTGTGGGAGCAGGGGCAAAAAGCAAGTGACTTTAAGGTGGTCAGGCAAACTTTTACCTTAAAATTACAGTGATGATGTATCATCCCCATTTTATATATGGAGAAACTGAGACCTAGAGTTTAAGTGATCCACCCAAGGCAAATATGTTTTAGTATCTAGAGTCGAATTCAAGTCTTTAATTAGAGCTTCAGATCTCTTTCCCCAAAACAATACCTCAAAAATGTTCGTGAATGAATATGAATGTGTGTGTGTGTGTGTGTGTGTGTGTGTGTGTGTGTGTGTGATCTCAATGCTGCATATAGACACCTTATCTGAAGGCAATTCTGTAACTTCAAGTATTCGGGTAAGACACCTGGTGGAATCAATAAATAAAGTGCTCCATATTGATGTGCTTTAAAATTCTGTTCGCCATTGGGTTAAACGACATTCAAATTTGTTTCCCCATTCTTTCCTTTTAGCAGGAGGGTATGCTGTGGCCTTTTCTCGGTTTAATGTATGGGAGACAGAACTTCAGATGTGAAGACTCTGAAAGCAATGAAGTATGTTATGTGCACAGGTAATGCAAATGAATCACAATTTTTAAAGTTCATAATCTGAAATTAATCAGCAATAGATCATGGAAAGAAAGAGCAAAGAGAGACACGTGTCCATAGCTGGGTTTCATATTTCATACCTAAAGAGCAGAACTATAAAAATAAGTCATGTTTTAAGCCTATCAGAACATGCAAATGATGTTAATTGATAAAGGACAAGACAGAAGTGGTCATAGGTACCTATTTTTGGAATACCAGTTGCTTTAAAATCTGTTATTAAACCCATGCTGAAAAAAAGGTGGCAGTGGATGGATGGTATGATAATTCAAATGTCTCATAACTGAGCTCAGATGAACTCCTTTGATATATTGGGGAGTCGTCTGTCTTATATATTTGGTCATAAGGTGCCTAACTTTTCAGTTTTCTTTTTTGGGATTGTCCTCTCTCTATAATTTCTTTCAGGTCAGAAATCAGCACTCAGTAAGGTAACCAATCAGCCTGCTAACGAATCACGTCTGTGGTATTTCAACTACCTTAGATCCTGAAGAAAACTTCCTGGACCAGAAGAAGCCTAGGCAGGCTGTTTATCAAAATTTCATGAAAATAGTGATGTCAAGGCCAAGACATTCCTATCAAAGTAAAACGTGATTTTTTTTTTTTTAGCTGAGCCATCCTGCCACCTGTTGGCAGCTCAACAGCAGCTCAGCTCGGGCATCGAACCGGCGACCCTGATGCTCAAGGCTCGCACTCTTGAGCAAGCTCTTAACAAACTGAGCCACTCGGCCGGCCCTAAAATGTGATTTTTAATACGAGATCGATATGATCCGTTGTCCCAAGCTGGTCTATAAATACCAGCTGTAGAAGCTGACCATTAAAGATGGTGAATTTGGATAAAATACCGATAAGACATATGTCCCAAATACAACTATGACTACTATGACCTTGGGTAATTAGTACTATTTCTATTAATAATATGATAATATGATTATTATACTATTACTACTAATATAATTGTTATTACACAATATACTTATTACTACTGCTGCTACTCTTCTTCTCCCTTCCGCTATAATCCTACCATTAACTATTTATTTTGGGCAAGGCAGTATTCCAAGCTCTTCACATGCATAACATATTCAATTCAATCTTCTCCATAACTTTATTAGGTAGGCATTCTTTTAATTCTCATTTTTACAGATGGAGAAATTGGGGCATGGAGAGGCAAAGTCATTTGCCATTGCTATTAGTGGCAGCAAAAATTTGGCCCTTTGTTTTCTAAATAAATTTTAAAACAACTTGCAATCTGCACTGGTGCAAGTCCGTTTGAATAAAATGGTTCAGAGTCATGTATACAGACTCTTATGGCAAGTAAAATAATGCTATTTGTAGTACTGATACTAGTAATAGTTGTAATAATAATAGTAGCCTGTAACATGAGCACTTTATGGGCCAGGCATCAACTAAGATTTGTTCCAGCCTTTTTTCTTTTAAAGATAGTTCTTACTATTATTCCTGTGTTATAAATGAAGAAACTGAGACATAGAGAAGTTAAGTAGTTTACCCAGAGTCACATAGCACATAAAATAAGAAATGCAATACAATTGTTGGTTTTGTTTGCTGACACGATGTTCAAAGGAAGTTCTGTTAAGCATTTAAAAAAAGTATCTAGTGTTTTTCATCTTCCAAATCATGGCTCTTAACCAACCACTTAACCAACCACTGCCTTCCAAATACTGACAGGAACACAAAAGAGATACAGTCACCTTGCTTTTGTACTTCTGATGGCCAAGCCGGAACTTCACGTAGGGGTCACTCAACCCGTTTGAATCCATTGCCTTGAGATCTCGCCCCTCAATCAATGTGATACTGACTATTCCACGCCAAAGATGTGATTTTCTGTGTACATCTGATAGACGTAAACTTTGGGTCTGAAACTTTTGGCAAAGGAAAACAGAGTTAGCTTAATGTGTTTTAAACCAAAATACCTTATTTGGCATTATACTTTCCCCGTTGTTACAATTTAAAAACAAAAACAAAATAGGCAGTTACAAATTTTTTAAAATAAAAATAATTTATAGATTATAATTTACTAATTATTAATTAGTAAATATGAAATTATCATCTCATGATAAATTTAAGGTTGTTGTGTAAAAGAGGTGAGTGCTCAAAATACAGTCTAAGTTTTCAACTCTTATAATTATAAGATGTAGATACCTTAAGAATATCAGAAAATATAGCATATTTGTTAAATATGCCTGTGTCAAAATTAGTATGAAATATTATAAATATCAAAGCCCTCATGGACACTGTGATATTTAATTTTTAATTACTTATGCAGAATCTTTTTTTTCATGTAACAAATGAATTTTACAGGTGGTTTTTAATTGTAAAATTAGTTGCAAGTTCTAGTGCTACAATTCAAAAATGTCTTTATTGCTATATTAAGAGATAACTGAGTTTCAGCTCACTAAAGAATTATTTAAGATACTATAGAACAGAAAACAAAACCGATATGTCCATCTGAAATATCTTGCTTATGTCTGAAACTTGCATCACAAATTTAAAAAATTACATATGTAATTTACATTGGCAGGTATGTTTCTGGATTTATTTCTCATTCTAGTATTGATACATTTTTGTTAATAATTTTTATTATGCTCAATTCTAAGTCACAATATTCAAGTCAGTGAACCAAATCAGAAATTAAAAAAATTAACATGTCTACTAAAAATGACCATATAATCTCTTTGAACTAAATTACACACAAAACAAGCCAGAGAAAGTGGCTAAAACGTTAACAACTTTACAGACTGGATTCAGAACCAAGCAGTACTATTAAAATTGCTGTTTCATCCTGTCAAACATGTTTTCTTCACTTACAGTTATTTCATGACAAATTTCAACATTTCTTTCAACCTCAAATTACTCCACTTCTAAATTATGGATTAGCTCTACTTTTGGCCTCATTCCTTCTATATTAACCTAATAAAGTTATAGCTTATTTTATATAACTCCCCCTCCCACTTTGAATTCCTAGTTGTTTTCCATACCATGGTAATGCCAAAGCCATTTTTATCTGTCATCATCAAAATTCATGTACTTCAGGAAGCTTTTATTAGGAAAATGAAAACTACATTCTTCAAGAGACAATACTTTTAATATTTAAAGATTTCAGTGGAAATCTTTCTTCATTACATTGCATATTTCCCTGCCTTGGTGATAAGCAAATTTTGAACAACATTGCCTTATTAATATCAATGTGGGACTTTGCATACACACCCTTTACCTCTCTAAGTCCAAGAGTGTGGTTCAACTGTGTTCTGAACGGCAACAGAGGTTTCACGGAGCAAACCTTTCACAGGACTCCATGCCCACATCATGGAGAGCCCCTCTGCTCCCATCTGTTTTACACACTGGGTTTCCACATTGAATTTTCTTTGAACCAAGGATTTCTTGGATTAAAATCATTGTTTAGAATTCATTGCACCAAGAGATCTTCAAGTTTTTTTTTTAATTATTATTTTAGCTCTAAGACTTCTTACTAATTATTATATAATGCAGCAATAGATTTCAATGTCTGCCTATCTATCATCTATCTATCTATCTATCTATCTATCTATCTATCTATCTATCTATCTATCTATCTGACCACTTCTGCTATTGAGGCTGCCTGTAACAGCAGACTTTAGAGAATCAGGTTGTAAACTCTGGGTCTGAAGCTTGAGTTAAAGAATGTGGATGGCAAAGAAGGCAAGAAGGAAAACAAGTAAGAAGAAATAATTATCTTAGTGAAGACTGAGGCGTTAATAACTACCAAATTATACAGAGGTTTAGAATTTAAGAGTACGTATGTGTACATTATATCATGTGCTTTCCACTAAAACCCTGTGAAGTAGGAAAGCAAGAAGTGCTATCCCCGTTTTACTGATGAGGAATCTGGGGCTCAGAGTAGCTGGGCTAATAAATGGTAGATGTGTGACTAGAACCCAGTACTTCTGACCTTTATTTCTGCGCTTCTCCCATTATTGGTCTTTAGGGCAGATACTCCTAGGTTTAAAGACAATCAGTTAAAGTATAATGTTGCTAAAGGATACTCTCCTGTTAAGTGAGTTGATTATATCTGAAATGACATTCTAGGCTAGATTTTCCTCCATGGCTAATACATGAAATCACTTTCTACTTTCCTATTATATAAACACATGTATTCATGCTTGCTGATGGATATTTTTAATGACAGTTTCTGTGCACTCTAGAAGCTGGAGTCATATATAGCACTCAGTCAAACAGTAGTTGGGTACAGTCTAGGCTACACAGCATCTTCCATCAGCAAGGCTATGCCAGCTTCTTGAATGATACCATGTTGGCAATCCTTACTTGCTTGCTCTTCCTCCCACTTTTCACATGAGAACAAGAACTTGACTTACAGGAAGGGAAGGATGAAGAAGGCTTTCCATGGGATTCTTCATGCTTTTAGAGAAATAAAATGAACATAATGGAGGCTTTACCTACTGTCATTATTTGTTACAAAATGTTTTTCTATAACCTGGAAGAACATTCCCAAAATGACTTGGGAAGCTAAGGGAGAGAAGGAAGGAGAGTACTTCTAAACAAAAATAGGGCTCACGAACGAAGAAACTAAGGTGATCTGTGTAAAAGGTTTAAAGTAAAAAGTAAGGCGGGGCGGGGGGGGGAGCTCCAAAGACATACTAATCAGATAACTTTTTTAAAGTGATTTTTCCCTCTTTAACATTTTTTTGTTGTTGTTATAACAGTACTCTTCTAAAATGAAAATCCATTAGTTTAGCTGTGATTTAATTAACTGCATACTCATGAAACAGATAAATGTTCAGGCTAAGTGTAAAGGATAGGAACTTAAAATTATAAGGTAAAGGGGAAAGAGATAAACTTAGGCTACCAATAGAGGAAAAGATAAGGGCTTAACATAAACACCCACTTGCATCTTCCTAGCAATTTGATTATGTGACTTGGGCATGTTTTCTTATCTGTGGTTTCTCAGACTGTACTCTAGGGCCCCAAGTGTACTAAGAATACTAATCCGTCTGTGTGTGTTGGGGGAAGGGGGAAGTTAGGGTGTCTATGTTGAGGGGCTAGCATAGGAAAAAAACATAAACAAAGATTTAACTTGCTTAAGATAGTCATGTATTACTTTCAGTTATTTTTTAAATCAAGGTTTTGGGGAGCTCATTAAAGGGGTCATGACAAGTAGAATTCCACAACTAAAAAAACAAAACAAAACAGAAAAACCCAAAAAAACTCTGAAAACCAGTAGCTTTAATGCCTTCCATAGTACGTTATACATCACTTGCTTCTCTAAAGTTCCCTTCTTCTGTATAGCAAAGCTCTCAAAGTGTGGTCCACAGGCCAGTGGCATCAATGTCACTTGGGAACTTGTTAGAAATGCAAACTCTGTAGCCCCATCCCAGACCAACAGAATCGGAAGCCCTAGGATGGGGTCCAGCACTGGTTTAACCAGCCCTCACTCGAGGTGTTTCTGATTCACACTCAAGTTTGAGAACCTCCGCTTTCAAAGCTCTAAGGTATATGCACACTGGCCTTCTATGTTCTAATAAGTATTATTAATGACTATAATTATAACATTATCCACTTTCTGGCATAGATACAATATATGCTAATTAAAGTCTTTCTTTAGTCCTGCTCCTAAATTTATTGATTAGGAAAGCATATTTGTCTGGGTATTTGGAGTACTTAGAGAGAAATGTAGGAACCTACTGAAAAATAATGCCAAGTTCGTTTATTATTTCCTTCCTTCTGTTAATTTTTTTCCTCATAGGATGTATCTAAATAATACATATCAATTCAAGGATTGATCAGTCAACTAAAAGTTACTTATTGAGCACCTAAAGGGCAAGGAGTGTTAAACAAATTCAAGATATTCCTCAATAAAATTAACATATTACAGCTAGTACTTAGTTATTTCAGGTAACATTTCAACTATGTCCTTGTTGAAATAGAATTCTATTGGAGGAGGGAAAGAAAAAAAGGAGGGAAGAGTAAAAAAAGAAAATCAACCTAGCTTCAGAGCAAAGAACTAAGTCTGCAAAAGAAAGAATCTTTAAACTTTTAAAGTTCTAAGTCATTCCCAAGTCTTAGTGGGCAATTTGTTGACATCTGCAGGCCTAACCCTCCTGGATGCGATGCGACTCCACTCCTATGGAGCAGAGCTGCTCGTGCACTTCCACCATGAGCCCCACATGCTTCTCACACACACCCATTTGAGATTCTCTCTCAAAAGGAATACTCATCCAAGTTCAGATTTAATAAAGAAGATCACAATATACATTTGAAATATACATTTCAAAATCTGAGGCAATTAGTCAATGATATCTTTAGTAAGATTATAGAATTAGTGAGCTAGCATTTTAAAGAGACTATTAGTTTATGCATGTTATTCCTTGAAAAGGAATTTACGATTCCAATTCCTTTTCATACGTAGAGAAGAGGTTAGTATAGGGAATGAGTTTCCATTACTGTTCTCACAGTCACCTATGAGAGTTCACAGCTCATGCAAGCTCAGGAAACATAAATAACACGGAATGGTTGAACTTACTTGTGTGTTTTGGTAATAAGCACTCTGAAGCTCTGCTCTGCAGAAGCCCAGGATAGGGAAAGCAGGCCTGTCGCACGTCTGGATGGAAATGAACGATCAGAGCTGTACAGGAAAGCCTTCTGCCACTAGCAACACCTCATTTGAATCAGAGTTTAGCATTATTCTTCAAAACACATTATTTGAAAAAAAAAAAGTATGTGCTTCTTAAGTCACTGTCAGGAAATGTTTCTAGCACAATGAAGATAAATGCCAATGCAATGATATAATTTCCAGCTACTATTCTCTTCAGTAGCATAATACTGTGATGGTCAAGAACATAAAAGACAGAGAGTATATGACGATGGTCCCATTTGAGTGGTTTCAGGTTTTTGTTAATGGGTCTAGCAGAATAAAGAAACATAGCAAGAGAAATCACAGAAAGAATCATTTTCCCAAGCCTGCAGCTTCAAAAATGTTTGGTGGCGGGTTCCAATGTCAAAAAAATGATACGCCTCCAGAAGAAGAAATGTTACATGGACAGAAAATAACTATGATCATGTTAACTGCATCCCACAGGTGAATCCTTTGTCATGATTAAGGGGAGATCTCTAAGTAACAGAAAGTTTGCCCCACACAACACTTATCATTGTTGCCTTTGCTACCAAAACCCCAAAGATCCCTTTCCTACTACAACCAAGAACAGCAAGGCATGGATAAAGAAAGATACAGCTGAGCGAGAAATACTGGAAGGCAATTATCATGGTGGAGCTAAAAGTTTGTATTAAATGACTTCTAGAGCAGCTAAACAATGTTTCTAAACAATAGTATGATGCAGTGAGAGCCATCAGTTTGAATAACATCAACAGAGGATTAGATTAGGCTGGTCTGGAAGATAGGCTATATTATACAGAAAGAAATAAACATGTATAGAGCAGATATTATGTGCTGGAGTTTTCATACTCTGGCGCTTTTCATGACAAGTATTTTTAAGATAAAGAAACTGAGGCACAGAGAAGACAAATACCTTGCTCAAAGCCAAATGGCTAGACATTAGCAAGGTTGAAATTTGAATCTGGGGTTGCCAGTACTTAATTGATGATTTTTCCCACCAATATCTCAGTTTTTGCAACAGTGCCTAAGACGTTCATGATACAAAAAAATAAAAAGCTGATTTGTACAGGATCTGTTGAAATATTCTGACTTATATTTAGATGAAATCTATGCTTGGGTATTGATTATTGAGAAAGGCGAATAGGGGCTTAGCAGAAGTAAAAGTCAGCAGGTGGTAATAATATATTGTTCAGTAAAGTATTTGAGCATTAGCTGTACTACATAAAAAAGTATAGTTTGATGTCTATTAATAATGTGAAGTTATAGACTCTTGCATATAAATTGAGAACACTTCTATATTACAATTCTACATAATAAAGTTTACTAATTCCATTTCTTGAAAAACTGGATCATTAATAATAGAAAATATCCTATTATTCTACATACTAATTAAAAGTAGGGCAAAAATTAAAAAAAAATCTATTTAGGCTTAACATGTGCTAAAGGAACATTCAGTCATACCAATCTCCTGATATGTGCACATAATCCTTAGCTTTTGTTGTTCTGGATTTTATTACCTGTGTACAACCTAATCTTTCCAAATGAGATCCAGACACTGTGAAACTGAAATGAAAAGACATTGCTTGTGTCTTTACAATAGCTGTGTGTGGAGTCAGCCCTTGCCTCTATTTTTAGCACAGAGGTGCACGTGCTTTTATTTAATCAAATGATTCACAAGACACTACAAAGAAGAGATAATGACAGACTAGAATGACTGTTTTGTGTGGCAAAGCCTGGAGCATGGAGCAATTATTAGCTCAATCCGAGGCACAGGCATGTTCCATCTTTTCCTTTTCCTGCTGAGTTTATTTCAGTGAATTGCACCTGGATGATGAAGTCCAACAAGCAGATTTGTTCTACAGCCATCCACCCTCTCAAAGCACGATTGCCTTTACAGAAAACCCTCTCAGTGCTTTGTGCAGCCTAGTTTGAAGTGTATCATCTAATAATAAAGCTTTTATCCCTTTTTTCTTAGAAGATGATTCACTGGAACTATAATCCTTAGAGAAATTCTCCTGGTTTTTATCCTGAAACTTTCTTTCCTATCTCTATTGCTTCTTGGTACAAGTTAAAGTGTTGGGAAGATAATATATATATATATATATATATATATATATATATATATATATATATATATATATATATATCTTCAGATGTTTTAACTGCCCTTCCTACACTTAATTGTGGTCAAATAAATGGTCTTAAGCTTTGACTATATTTGCTCAAAATGTATACTATTAAAGAATTCATCATATATGTTGTAATCCTGTTGGTCTGCTAAAGTAATCTATGTTTCCACCAATAATATGGTAAAAAAAGAATGAGTTCTGAGGTTGATTTACAAATACTTGTTTTTGAGACTTTTAATTAAAAGTTATAAATGTGTTTTTTTTCCCCTAAGGGTCTTACTTTCATAACTAAGGAGAGCAATAACGGCTGAACTTGTCGTGGATGTATGTCTACAGTTGAGTTGTTCAGAATGTAAGCACTTTGGCCTAGAATCACATTTTTTTTCTTTTTCTTTTAAAGATTTTTTTTTTTTAATTGGGGAATTGGGGGATGGGGACAGCGCTGGGGAATTGGGGGAAGGGGAACAGACAAGTTGCTGTCCTTTTGTTCTTCAGTCTAGTTGTGGAGGACGTTGCTTCACTGGCCCAAGTTGGCACCATCATTGCGCTCTTCCCGGGTGAGGCAGATCAGTCGCCGGCTTCTGGACGGCTGCTCATCGGCGGCTGCTGGCTGCTCACTCTGGCTGCTGGCTACACACGGTAGCCCATGGCAACCCACTGCAGCAGGGGCTGCAGCCTATACCGTCGCCGGTGACTCATGGCAGCCCAGCTCCAGGTTGAGCTGTTGTTCAGCATCTTAGCTGTAGAGGGCAGTGTCACTGGCCCTCATATGTGGGATCCGAACTGGGGCCCTCTGGCATCCCAAGCCAGCTCTTAACCAATGTGCCACTCGGCCGGCCCCTAGGATCACATTCTTGTTTCCCACAGCCAATAACTCTTCTCCTTGGTCTGCAGGGTCTTCCTTCAATCACATTTTTGTTTGACCCTGCCATAAGGTGGTGCTCTTACATAACTCCGAATTGTTCCATATTTTATGAACTATTGGCCCATTTCATAGTATGATCTGTTTCTCCATTTTTAAAATATGAGGTAGCTTGGCATAGCCTTCTCCATTTAAACAGTGCTAAAATTTCTCTTTAATTTACCACAATGGTCTCATAAGATGGTTTGTTCAATTAACTCTCAGTTATTGAACAAACATCACAATCTAAATGTCTGTCAATGGAGATAACTCGGAAGAAACTTAAATGCATCAAATATTTGGAAGAACTGTATTAAGTTACCATCCTTTAATGGGAAGTTAAAAATCTTTAATGAAATTCTGACTTAGTGTAATCTAACCGGCTTCACATAATTTTTATTATTCTCATGAGAAACATGGTAATTACCATACCCATTGCTTAATGTTTTGTGTCCTAAGATAAGGTATTTTGATGAATTATAAATGTTATGCTTTTGGAAAATTAGAATATCCTAGTATCACTTCAGTCTTTTCTATTATTTTATGCTCAAGAGATACAGCAAGTAGCACAGACATTCACTGAGTGGGTTCTCATCAGGATCCAGTTTCACTCAGTGCAACTCAATTGCTATCTCCTGGACACATGTATTGGTCCTTATAAATAAGCAGATAAAACTTTTCTTTTAAATCACATCCTGTTTAACTCACAAAGTACACATACACTCTTTACGTAAGATTTTATTGGAGCTATTTAGGTTTCTTGTATACCTGAAAGTGTCTCTGTGAAACCTCCTTTCATGAACATCTCCTCTAAAACGTCATCAAAATACAAATGCTGCTTGGACAAAGAGCAATGAGTTCACTTGTCATATTCACAATGAATGTGAATATGAAAGATCATACTCATCCAAAACAGACTCGGTTGCTGATTTGGTAAAATGAGACCTCTAACACAGCAACATCACAGCGCTCAAACACATCCACCCATCAATGGTTTAAAGGGAGAAGGAGGAGAAGGGTCACATAATGCAAGAAGGATTTGAAAGGGTGTCAATAAAGACAAACTAAGGGGTAACTCTATTTATACATCACATCTCTATTCATCGTCAACCAAAAAGGAACTCTGCTGCTTTAAGTCTTCATCAAAACATTTATTTCCATGTCATTGAGAGAGAGAGAGAAAACTATGGGTCCTGATGGCATCATTTAGGTACTCCTGGGCAATGACATCACTTCTCTGGGCCTCAGTTTCCTCATCGGTGAAATATATCACCCCTAAGGGCTCTGCCTTTATGACCCAATTTGTTTGTCACTCAATGTATGTTCAGAGAAAAGACATTAGACCACTGTCCCTCAGATACAAAAAAGCAATCTTTTTAATTTGCATATTTGTTATTAAAAAATAAGAGAGTTCAAAGATTGAAAAAGGTTAACAAAGAATACTTAAGGATGAACACAACCAAATGGAAAGTACTAATAAGTGGAAGAATAATTTGGAAGACTAAAATGAAAAGAAGATGTTAAAAGAGTCAGATGAAAAGGAAATCTTTTAAAAATATTACTTGTGGAGTTGGTCCTGGTGGCAAGCCTTCATTAATAGTGATCAGTCTGCACATTTGCTACATGTAGAGCAAACTCAACACAGAACACCCTTAATTCTGCTCTCTTGGCTAAGGAGTGTACCATATGAATTCACTACACTTGTAGCTCTTAAGATAACAGAGACAAAATTTTGCAAAAAGCCATTTACCATTTAAGGTAATGGAACAATTCAAAAGCAGTCATCTGTGTGTTCATGGATAATGCATGAACATATAAGAGGAATTATTAATATTTTAGCAAAGAAACAGAATAGTGAAGGCAGCCATCAGTAGACTGAAAGTAAATGAAGAGGCTATAATAATTAAAATAAGCTAACAATAAAAGGTTGCCCCAAAACAAAAAGCATGGAAGGTGGAGAGGATGAATAAATGTGGTTTATACTGGCTCACTGGTCAAGTCAATGCATGACTTAATCTATTGGGTTGTTGGAAAAGTCATAACATATTGTTTTCTGTTTTTCGTTGCAAAAATGCGTCATGACTTTTCCGACAACCCAATAGTACCTGCCAGCCTGCTTAAGAGACACAGAAACAAATCTTAAAATTCTAAAAGAGAAAGGGAGTTTTCAGTCATGAGCAGTTTAAGAGCCAAGAAAAAAAAATGGCAAACTCCTACGAGTGTAGCAGCATTTTCACTGGAATGTCTATTGCTAGGAAACCATGTACCAAGTGTGAATTTTCAAACAAAGAGAGAAACACTTGATGGCAAAGTAATAAGTGCATTAGTAATAAACTGTGCTGTGAATAATGCAGAATTATAGCAGAGGGAAAAAAAGGATGACACAGTTCATTATGTTTAAGTCATGAAAGAGTAAATAATATTAAATTGCAATGGCATTTAAAACAAATTCTCTGTAGAATTTTCACTTTTTTCTTTATTTAAATCAAAAGTAGAGCTGTTTTTTAATTCATAAGTTTTTTTTTCAAAGACAGAACACTGACTATCTAGTATGTATGTAGTATGTATGTATAAGATCACTCTAATAGAAGAAAAATTTTCTCAAACAGGTGGAGCAGATTTTACAATAAGTGAAAAAAAGAACAATAATGGATCCTCTAGACAGCATCATAATATTCCTGGAAGGTCCATGGGCCTCTAGCTGTTAAGAATTTGAAATAAACTTGGTCCCACAAGGAACTGACACCAAAGCAATATCTTAAATATATGAAGGTCATACTTTTTACAAATGAAGTAATGAGTCAGTCACCTGAGTGACTTATTAACAGAATAAAAGTTAACAAAGAAGGCAAATGAATACATTTCTCTGAGAGCCTATTTTGAAAAGTGAATTTCTTAATTCACATTTGAATTTCAAAAATACTATTCAGAACCAAAAATCAAGAATATTAATGTAAAGGATTTAAACATTACCCTCCAAAAGAAAGGCTTCACAGAGAAATAAGATCCAACCACTTCATTTCCTGAGAGTTCCTAAAAACAAACAAATATTTAGCTAAATTTTGAGGTGTTTCTGAGAATATTTACTTAGCCCAACAAAATCAAAACAAATAAAAACCTAAAAATTATATATCCTAAAGATACTTAGTATATTTATAAACTGCAAGCTTTCTTCCTTTGAATCAAGGTTTTTGTCTTACTCATATTTGATGTCAACAGTAGTATAGAGAAGACTATTTCTGTAACTTAAAATTTTTTTTAAATTTTTTAATTTTTTCAAGCTGAGCCATCCTGCCACCTGTTGGCAGCTCAGTGACAGCTCAGCTTGGGCCGGGAATTGAACTGGCGACCCTGTTGCTCAGAGCTCACACTCTTGAGCAAGCACTTAACCAACTGAACCACTCGGCTGGCACTGTAATTTTTTAAGAGTCTACTTACCTCTGAATTTTAATATTTTAATTGTTGATTAATATATCTAAAAGTCTAACATTTTATCTTAGAAAGTAGAACTGTTTAAACATATTTTAAGATTTTGAAATAAGCCAGACAATATATGTTCCTTTTAACAAAACAATTTAACACCACAGGTCTTCAGAACATTTTTAAAGAATGACAGCAGAAATCTTATTTATAAACACACACCTAAATTGGTTTAATTCCTTACTAAAAACTTCCAAGTTTTATTATATATATATATATATATATATATATATATATATATATATATATATATATATATACGACTTAGTTAACTTGAGCTCCCCAAAAATAATAATTTTCTGAAAATGAATACTAAGAAAGGTGGCTATTGGGCTGAAAACAAAGCAACAGATTTATGTTGTATGTTTTATTACTTAATCCTCAGATTTTCTAAAATGAAACCAATTCAACTTTAAGAAATCAAAAACATAGCTACTCACTTTTAAAAACAACATTTAAGTTGCAAGCATCCTTTAAACTTTAATGTTTTGTAACCTGTCTTGGTGTCAGTTATGATAAAATTATGGGAATCTGATGACAGTTATGAGAAAGTATCAACCTTTGACATTGTGATGAAGAGGAGGCAGTTTTGTAACTTATTTGATTATTCCACGATTTTTGGTTAGCAACTAAGAATATAGTGGTCCAACACCTTAAATGATGCCTACTGCAGAGTAGACGCTTAATAAATATTTGTGAATTGACTGTTAATTACTTGGAGTTTCACTTGATTAAGGCTACATATTCCTTCCAAAGTGATACCAAAGCTCATATCAGAAAATAATAATGAACTAAAGTATTTTAGTGTGTGCAGCAATTTGAATAATTTAAGAATTATATCAGGGATCATTTATGCAATCTACCTGTGCTTTTTACATGAAATGTATTTCCTAACAAAACATAATTACATTTCCCCAAGTTACTTGCATAGGGTTTAGTCAGGTAGCTTGAGTAATGTCAGAGGTCATAGGGAAAAAGTCTTGAGTTTAAGAGATTGTTTTACCATCATTACAGAGTTATAATTCATTTACATTTACAGCTATGGTGCTCATCCGTCACATTTAGCACACTGTTGCATCAGTTTCTGAAAAAAATTCTTAAAGAATACACTTATATTTGGACATTGGGGCACACAACTTAGATGGAATGACTGTAGTCTTTTTCGATGCTATACTATTGTTTAACTCAAAAACCTTATTCTAGTTTTTAGAAAAGATGAATGTTGTCTTTTTCTATTGCCAATTACCTTCTTGAGTCCTAGTTCTTTTTTTATTTAATTAAGCAACATGTTTAGCAACAGGTGGAAAAATTGTAAAGTATCATACTAAAGAAATTACTGCTTGAAATCTCCTTACAGAATTAATTTCTCCAGAACCAATAACACAAGCTATACAATTAACTGTAAGCTTTGTCTTAATGTAAAATGTGTTAAGGCAACAAATGGATGTGAAACTCTTGGTTCTAGACTCAAAATAGTTACAACAAAATGACAAACATTTAGCATTCAAAAGTATTGTAAATTCACTTAAAGCTTAGATGGTGTAAGGTGACTAACATTGAAACTATACCAACTTCACACTTTCCATTCTTCTTCAGATGAATGCATAGGGTAATGACCTAATTATATGACTAGTATGCAAAGAGCAAAATGAGACTGATGAATTTTGGGGGGGAAGGGTTTAATGATCAAGATTTAGAACTTAGGTTTCTCTGCTAAAATTTGAAAAACAGAAATATTAGTCACATTTGGATCCACTGAAGTCCCTAGGCTGTGCCTTTCATGCTGCGTTTAATTACTTCTGTCATTATTCATCAACTAAAATTTGTATTGCATTTTACAACCTACATTCTCATGTAAATTTAGGCCTTTATTTCAAATGAAACAACTTAATTTTCTTGTAGACCCTTATGCCATTTATTGCTCAGATGAATATAAAATGCACAGCAGCCTAGCCAAAGCCGTCCTTTCACTAGAGTTTCTGATGATAACAATAACAAACAACAATAATAAAACACCTGGCCTTACGATAATGAATTCTAAACAAAAGTGGTGGTTTTATTATGGAAGGCAAGAAAAATAGAATAAACTATTCATGAATTTCAGAGAAGACTGGTCTTACATCATAATTGCAGATATTTAGTTACACTTTAGTCTCCATCAAGACAACAGGTTGGTGAGGGAAAGCACCATTTTAAAAGTGCTGAGATTATAAAGTAACAGCAAAAGGAAACAACAAAAACTAAAGACATCTAATTGATAAAGAGAAATTATTGAAGTTATTCTGAGTAATAAATGGTTGAACTATTTTTGCTGAGGTTTTAAATTTATTAAAGTAGCAAGCCATTGGAACACTGTATTTAAATCTGTTTTTGCCTCTAGAAAACCAATATACACTCAGAAAATTTCTCCTACAAAATAAAAATTTTTATTATGAATATAAAAATTAACATTTTTTTTAAATCTAGGAGATATACTTTTTTTCTCAAAGAAATAAGACTAAAGGACAGTTCATTTTTTCCCTAACAAATGAATATGATGCTAGTTTTCAGCCTTGTATATAAAAAATAAAGCATAGAAATCTTTAAGAACTTTGCCATCAGATGAACAAGGATTAGCCACTAAAGTTTTCTTAAAAGTGATTATTTTTTATTCACCTTAATGTGTATAGGCCTTTAAACACCATGCATGTTACTATAATTCAGTAATTCTTCAATACACAAAACATTCATGACAGATTTGAAATTTTGAAGCCTGAGATTCAATGTGAAACAAAGTAGCATTCTTGATTACACAGCATGTTTTTATAGGTGCACAGTTTCCTTTCATCAATACCTCTTCAGGCATTTATGAGGTAAAAAATAAATAAATTCATAAGTAAATAATTTTCATGGCCTTTCCTGGTCAGACTGCAATCACTATTATCAAAGCTGTAGCTCTTGGCTGCTTCCATCAAATTGACTAAAACCATGGACAGCTGTATAACTAAAAACAGGGACATGATGTAAGTGGAAATTCACCCTGAACTGCTATTCTCCTGTTTTCTTGGTTATTCAAATAGGTGCTTATATCGCTTATACTCATTAAACATAAAAAGTTACAGATTCCCTCTGCAACTCCAACTGTCCCTTTAAATATTGCTGGAGAGAGAGAGAGAGAGAGAGAGAGAGAGAGAGAGAGAGAGAGAGAGAGAGAGAGAGAATCACAGGACCCCAGAGGACCTGCCCTGGAACTGAAGTCTGGCTTTGTCTGTTATTTTTCTAGAAATTTTACCTTAGCATTTTTATATGTGTGTGTTAGTGTATGTTCATGCATGTGTGTATGTGTGTGTATATGTATGTATAAATACATGCATACATTACGTGCATATATTGCTGTCATCCAGGGCTTTGAAGCAGAGTCTTCACAAAATTATGATTTATTTTCATTGTGGACATTTAAGGGACATTATAACCAATAAATCTCCTCCTAGTCACACTCAATTTAATTTACATATACATATATATGCCTGATATATATATACATATACATACATATATATATATATATATATATATACATATATATGTATACACACACACACAGAGCTTGGAATTAAAGGCCATCAATCTGCAGATCAACTCTTATTTCCATCATCCTGGAGCCAGGTTTATATTAGTTCCCTCCCTCTGATCAGCCCAGAAAGCGTCTTGGAAAACCATCAGCTCACTTAGTCACACACATTAGCAATATGAAGGCCAATCAGCAACCCCGCAATTTGACATCTTAGAGCTGGCATGTAGACGTCATGGAATCCAGCCTCTGCTGGAGATTACGTTTTGTCTTTTCACTTTGTGCCTACTCACCCAGATTTGCTCCCCAAAGGACCAACAACATTTTAAAAATTCAACAAGACTGGTCAAATAAACGCAATGCCATTGTTACAGCAAAATCCCTGTGGTTATGAATTACAATAAATAAAAATGTATATTTTATGTCTATGGGGAAATATTGTCAAAACAGCAAGAAAAAATCATCTCAATATAAAATTTTAATTATGGCTCCATGTATTTTGTGGATATAATCAAATATTTACTGGCATGATGATATTTCTATTTTAAATACACTTACTACAAATTTTAGGAGTTTAGTTAATTGGGGTTAAAAATACAGTACTTTATAATAGAAATGGACATGCTGATCGCCTTTTGTTCATTGCTGCATTTTGGAATCTCAGAAGCCTTAATTATGAGGTTGACTTTATAACATTTTAAAATAACACAGACTTGGGAGTATTAACAGTGGCAAAGTAAGGATTTTAAGAAGAATTTTATATTGCCTTCAAAAACATGTAAGCATCTCATTTTTTCAAAGATATATGCATAATAATTTGAAATGAGACACTAAAGAAAAGTCATTTTAGTCACTCACAGTTGAGAGGGTCAATGACCAAGAAAATTTTCATGTTTTGCAGTTTTAAAAATATCACCTATTTATTATCAGGTTATGAGGTCTTTGTAGAAAGGGCCTAACAATTGTTAAATAATGACTTTTTTTTTTTTTACTATGTCTGACT